GACGTGCGCACTTTTCAGCTTAAAAGTTCAGGGTTGTCAGAAGTTTAACATTTACTTCTTATAATGTCACTTGTCACATGGTGTTTCTTCTTTTTTACGACAAATGTCTCTACACGCCTGTGATACAGATTTTATGTTTACCTTTTCTTTTGTTTGTTCATCATGCTTACAATTGTTTTGCATACTAAGTTATATGATATATGCATAGCATAGGGGTTGTCCATTAATCACGTGCCTTTTTTTGGAGAATTTTTAAACCCCCCTCCCCCATTTGTGATACGTAGTGAGGGTTTAAGACCCCCCTCAAATCGTTTTTTTGCCTACAAGGAATCTTAAAATTTTCTGAATATTATCTTAATATAAATACAGGTATAAACTATAAATTTATTGAAATTAAGGACAAAATCATTTGTTATGGGTTTGACGAAAAAAAAAAAGTTCCCCCTTGAACATTTTAATATCCTTTCGTTAAACGAACAAAACAACAAAAGTAAGACATCACATCAGCACATTATCTTCCTCGGACATAATCATAATATATTTTTTATTTGTATATGTATATTATTATAGTAAAGCACTTTTAACGGTTTAAAACTCGAAGTATATTAGTTAACTTATTATAATTATGACTCGACATTCAGTTCGAAGTAGCATTTAATCGTTAAAAGTGTTTTTTTTTTATGTATAGTACTCAAGTGAACTACAGACAATGCTGTTTGTTCTGTTGACAGCCCTGTATCGATATGTATATAGACAGAACAACAATCGTTTTGTTTCATACGAAGAAAGGCTTCTAGTTAGGTCACCTAGTCTAATTCAGCGGCTGGATTGTCGCCAAGCATTCCGCGTCTTCTATTGTGTTGGGTTTTGTCCACGGTAGCGTTCAGTTCGTGGGCGGAGTCATTGACCCGCGTTATGTATGTCGGACATAATATTATGACGTACTCGAGGAGTCTAATTACATATAGCGCGTGTATATTGTTTATGCGTGCGCGCATTTTCGTATGCAAATCCATTTTCTTCCCTACTATCAAAATACTATTTAATATTTTAATGTAACTATTAGAAGGACTGAAAAATCGTTGACTAATAATGGCCTTTTAACGTGCAAACCACAATGTCAAAATTATTTAGCGTTGCTCCAGAATTAGTAGGTTGTATGTGACCTCTATGCGCGATAGTTAAAACGGGCTATGTCCCCCTTATGGAAACTTATGCAATAATTATGTGGTTTTCGTTTTTACTTATCGCACTTGTTGCTATTCACAACGCTGGGTAAACATAGACTTTATTGTAGGTCTCGTCTGGTAATGACGATATTATGAAACACGTATCATCTATAGTATATACTAATATTTAAATAAAACACTTTAACGGTTTAAAACGCGATATATTAGTTAAACTTATTTGAAAATGATTGTTAACTTAGGCCCGACTTAGTTTCGGATGGTTTGCAGCAGCCGTGGTCACGGGGAGACTGACGGACTGACTGGCTGACACGTCACGTCACGGGCCATATAAGCAGTACAATTTAGTGCCATATATTTCAGAAAAGTGCCCTAAAAGACCGCAACAACGCATCGTTCCTCCGGGATATGAACTCATCTCTCGCTTAACCTTAATAAGACAATGCATTTTATCATTGAGCTATGAAGGCGGTTGATATACTTAATATTGTTTATCTTAATTTCTCTAAGAATCTAAAATAAAAAGGGTCCAATAATTATTAAAATAATTTAAATTGTACTTTGAATTTGGTTTATTATACGAAGACCAACTCGCGAATATAAATCAAGTAATGTTATAAAAGAAGTAATTGAAGCCGGCCGATTAAGTTATTGAATGGCGATTAGGATTACGGAAGGCTAGGTACAGTTTATTGGCCCGCATAAATCCGACCTTATGTGGGTAGTTTTAATTTAATTGCCTTAATATGTTAAACAGTAAACCGATTTCGGTCAAGGTGTTTTATTGATCTGGTGAAAATTATACGTCCACGTGTTTACGCAATTTTTTATCCGACTGTGGCGAAGTTAAAAGGAAGGGTAATTAAGGGGATTATCTGTATATGCCTAATCCATAATAGCGCTTGAAATAGGCAGCCAATTTTATTGAACGAGATGTGAAACGATCCGTGATAATGACGCGATTCAGAAAGCAATATAATTTTTTTGTAAGAAACTATTAATGACGGAATTAATTTCTGAAAATCTTACCCCGTCTATACTAATATTATAAAGCTGAAGAGTTTGTTTTCTTTTGTATGATCTAATCTCACGAACTTCTGGTTTGATATTTTTTTTTGTTCGTTAGAGCAATTATCGAGGAAGGCCTTTTGGGCTATAAAACCTCGTCAACCAAGAGTTGCGAAGACACAGAGGGTCCCTCGACTTACATGTGAAAAAAACGGGGAAAATTATAAATCGGTGACTTTCGCTGGTGTGCTGCAAAAACTAATCAAGAAATCAAAAACCTATGTAGGCAAGAATTTTGATATCAAGATCTCCACGACAATATATATTAATACTTTAAATTAACTCGCAAGCGATGTGACGCGGACGACGTCGTGGATAAAAGCTAGAATTAAATAATACATACCGTATCAGTCGTCTATTATAGGAACGTGAAAATATAAAGGCGTATTGAAATAAAAGATATTATTTCTATTGTTAGACCGCCGTTTCTTGCTAAATATTTTTGTAACTACTTTTTTGCATTTTTACCGGTGACAAAAAAGTATTCGTTTGTTTATTTGTGTCTTAGATACGTAATTGTCTTACTGTTCTATAAACTGTACCGTATTTTGTGGATACCGTTTTGTTAAGTACTTTTTGCACATTATCGTCGTGTAAAATTCACTTCTATTGAGACTTTCTTAGACAATAGTACTCTCATTTCTTGCATTGAGTTGACGTAACAACATTATACGATCGCAGCGAGCAGGAAGACGCTACAATTGGATTGTGTAGTCTCAAGTAAACGTATAATACGTATTGCGTTATGGTAATGTGATAATTACATTACGAAATGTGAAAAACGTTAGAGGCAGGTCATAAGTCCACTGTGATGTGACACAAGGTGCCTACATGAAGTGAATATAGTAGTACATAAGACATTAATGTTTCTGAAAATTGTTCTTTTTGTTGCACGTATATTATATACAATAAAGACAAAAAGAAATTACAATATTCAAAAAAGTCGATAACCGTAGGTTTACTCAACAGATTCAAGTTTAGAATTATATAAATAAATTGAATTTGAATGACATTTTAAGGACTAAAGAATTGTATTACTGTTGGTCTGTCTGATGTACCGGTAGAAATTTACGATGGCTCTTCCAAATTATGTATTTCTGCTGCTTTACTATAAGCCCGTTTCACACTTGGCCGTTTTTATCGTCACTATTAACATGTGTCCAAATACCTACATACCCTTGACGTCAGTGGGCGGAGGATTGTGTAATTTTTCTAATCGTGTGGGAGATCAAATTTCACTTTTCCACAAGGCCCTCGTGGGCTATCGTCTCCGAGACAAGTTCGAAACAATAGGTGAGGTGTGTTTGTACGTTTTAATACGCCTTTGTGTGGACAATTTATTTTCAGGCATTGTGCGCTTTTTACGACGCCATTACACTTTCGAGTGAAGTGATTAAGGAAATGTTGTTTACCTCTGCTTCAGGCTAAATATCCTGAAAGTTACTGCTGAACAAAAAGACATAGAGTTGCTTAAGAAAATCATTTTTTTGAGCTAATTGTAACAAAAATAAAAAACAAATGTTTTTTTACTCATTGTTTAATTATGCGGTGAATACATTTTATTTTACTTACACGAATCAACGCGCATGTAATTATGTTTTTGTATCCATTTTAGTAACACCTCCACGCAGGGGCATAATTGCACGAAATAATGACAGCCCACAATCTCTTACAAGTAGACAGCTCGGCGTCATGTACAGTATGATGATCGAGTATATTTTTTTCTTCCATGCCAGTACTTCCTTCTTGTAGACAATAGGGGATCACGTAAGACCTAATCACCATAAGTTTGATACTACGGTTGTAGGCACTGAACTAGTTGTAGCTGATTAATATAGCAAAAATATTGTTTCAAAATAACGGAGAATTGATTGATAATATGTTTTAGTAGCAAACACATATAATAACGGTTTCAAACGAATAATTAGTTAAACTTATTTGAAAATGATTTCTCCGTGAGTCTGCAAGTCTGTAAGTCGGCCGAAGTTAAATAATTTCAGACGCACTAATATATTGCGTTTAACCGTGAAAGGTTTATTTAAATGATACATATTTTGTTTCTTTATCTCTCTTCTCAGCGCATGCACCGAAAGCCCTCAAAAATGTTTTTTTTTTCCCTATTGGTGCTATCAAAAACTGATGTTGTAATGCCTATGCCTTCCTCCATAAATGGCTATCAAACACAAAAATTTTTGCAATTAGAACCAACTTTTTAAAACCTTCAGCTCTATAATACATATTAGTATAGTCTAATTTTCAACATTACAGTATAGAATTGAATCCTTAAATAAGAAACAGTCTAAAAAAAACAAACTTGCGTCGACTGTTAAAAAAATTATTTCCTAACGCTTACCTGGTTCTGGAATGTCGAAGATGTAGAGGGCCCTTACATTAAAAGTAAAAAAAAAAAAAAGGGTCGCTATAAAAAGTTTGAGTGTAAAATACCTATCTAGTTTCCACTAGATGTGGTATGGGCCAGATACATTTCTGTGTACCTTGTGTTGATTATTTTAATATAATTTGATATAAAGGAAGACGGAATACCGTGCTACGTCTCACAAAACATAATAATTTAAATAAAACTCTTGACGGTTATAAACCCGAAAAAAAATGTACACGGGAGACACTCTTATATGTCACTTTTTGAACCGTTATTAAAATGTGAACCACTAGCTAAATTAGAGAAAAAACAGATATTTCTGTGTTTCACTTTGTATTTATTTGTCTTTTTTGCATTGTCGACAGATACAGCGGCAAATCGCTCGCGAATATGAGCGACTGAAGGGAACCATGGCCGCGTTGCAGGTGTTCCAGCACGAAGGCGATAAAGCGATCACACCACTCACTGCAAGTAAGTACTTGCCGTGGTATATGACGTAGTATGATAACGTCACTAGTCTCACGGTCTTACTACGACTTTTTCGCCTATGGTCAAGGTCCAACATATCAAAAGATTGTTGCGTTTTTATTTATTTTTTGGCGAAACACGATTAAGATTCACGGCTTTTTCATGGGGGGGGGGCGTGAACAGGACGGAATTCCGATATTCCTACCACTCATTTAATATCCAGATTTCTAGACGAAGGCGATCATGTTTCAGGAAAATTATAAATTGAAAAATTAGAAACATATTGGATCCGGTGGGGATCGAACTCGTAACCCACCCAGGTGATTATTAACCATACATTGCTACCATAAGACCATCGAGCCAATTTAATCATGTAACATCATTTTTGAAATTATCCTTCAACTTAGTACATTCATCCCAAGAAGCTTCTATGAAGCGGCAATTCACCACATTAGCTGCTTTTATCTACTTCAAAGGTCAAAGTACCTCGATGATTGGCGAGGATTGAATTTAACTGATTCTGGTTATTAGAAGAATTGAATATGACCACTAACTCTTGATAAGTCTTGTATATCTTTGTATACCTCAGCGCTACAAGAAAACGATTTTTAATTCTACTCTAAACGGATTATAGAATTCATACTTAACGCAAGTAGTACATATTTAAATTTAGAACGGTTTTAAACCCGGAATATATTGAGTTATTTATTATGAACTACGATCCAAAGTTCGGATGCAAAGAAACGTCGGAGTAATATATTTTTCAACTGTTTTTTTTTTAATTTTGAATATTTTGTTTGTAAGATTTAGTGTTCATTAATTCTAAAAGCTTTTGCTGTAAGCAATGTGTGATGTCTAAGTTATAAATTATTTGTGCAATTTGTACTGTTACGAGTAAAATCCCGTATTTTCCACGTGTAAGGTGGAAAGACACGGGATTCTTGTGTCTGTTTCACTTAAATGTTTAAATAAACACCTTTAATTTTATGGATTTAAAACGCGATATATGTTGGTTAAACTTATGTGAAAATTATTTTAACATCGGCCTGACGTTTCGAATTCTTTGCAGCAACCACGGCACCATATTGCGTTTTAAACCGTTAAAGTATTTTATTTAAATGTGCTACTGGCGCGTGTAGTGTAGTATTATTAAAGTAATGTGTAATTTATCAGTTTTGGTGCACTATCCGGCTGATTTTTTTTAAATGTTCGCTCGGGGTTCGAAACTAAGGCCTCTAGCGCTCAGCGCAATGCTAGGAAAAGTATTTAACCATTGATACACTATGGCATATGCTTTATAGCTCCTTCGTGTGTATAGTAGCGTATTTATCCTTGGCCCGTATCTCAATTCACTTCCATTGCGAGAACAATAGTTTATCGCTACACCTATATAGGTGAGGTGCGACATTCAACACTTCATTGTTATTGATTAATTGTGATTGTCGATGTACGTCAATGTACAGACTACGCTATATAATACTAGCTGTGCCAGCGACTTCGTCCGCGTAGTATAATTGATTTTGCAAACCTCTTAGTTTCAGCGGTTCGGGTGGCCACTGCTGGACATAGGCCTCCCCGGTAACCGGTGTTCGCTAGTTCACGTCGCCTTAATCTTTATAAATTATTTTTACCCACGACGTCGTTCTTGCAAGTTAATCTTGAAGATATTCTGTCGCTGACATTTTTTTATATAATTGTTTTCGCAACGCACGCATCGGAAACTCAAAGATGTTTAAATAATAAATTTCCCCATTTGTTTCACATTACCCACTGTCTCTTCGCTCGTACTCGTCGCAGCGTGATTGTGTAGCCTTAAAAATTAAATACATTTAAAAAAATCGAACTAGTGATTCCTAAGATTAGTGGCTTCCAACAAACAAACAAATTCTTCAACTTTATTATATCTGTATAGAAAAAAGCTTAATAGCTTTTGACTTTGGAATTCGGTGCTTTTGGATATTTTTACGATAACCTCGTTACCATGACAACCGCAACAATCTCCGATAAGGTTATTATCAGATACTTTGTCTCTTGCCATGTTCGAGGCGAAGTTTGAAAGGTGATCGAGTGAAATGTCAGCAAGGGACGCGAACTTTCTGTTTCGCATCGGTCACGAGTTTGCAATGGTGGAGTCGAGATCAGATATAACCACTTTCCAATCTCGATCGTGTACCGCCTTGCACCGCCGTCGCCTATCTCAGCCGACGGGCGGAATGCTATGTCTACACTTTCGTCTGTACTGTAGTCTGTAGGTACTCTTCGATAAAATAAGTCTAGTAATTAATTTAAGTTTTGTATTTTTCAACAGTTTTCTCTTATACACTTCTTATTTCGCTTATATATTAGTTGTCTTATTTACAATTGATTTTTAATAAGGCCCGACGTTTCATATGCTTTCCAGCAGCCGTGGTCAGAAGGGGATCTTGTGTTTGACACTTTAACCCGTTAAAAATGTTATATTTTATTATGTACTGCTCACGTAAATTATACACAAGAGTGTTTTTTTTTTCAGTCACAATTGCATATTTCAAATTTACCAAAATGGCCTAATGTTGAAAAAAAAAAAGTCACTTTGTAGTTTTGAAAACTAGATAAAAACGTACAGTACTTTTAAATATTTACTTTATGGCAACGAAAAACAAAGAAATTTGCTGTCCCTTTGAAAAGAGGTGTTACAGTTAATACTAATTAGAAATTTATTTATAATATGAAAGTCTCCTACTGGGAATACAGTGTAACTGTTCGTGGCGTATAATTTCCGGCTCTAAACAGCAAACAATGAATTTTATAGTGATCGTAAAATAATAACCGTTCTTTAAATTTATTACTTTACCTACTGCCCATATAATCTTTTGTTGAACTACATTACGTAACCATGCTTTTTAACGTAATCCTAAAAACATTCATCTAGTTTATATGAAAATAGTAATACAATTATAAAAATCATTGTGCAACAAAAAATATATAACATAAGAGTATCCTTTATCGCGAAGTGATATAACTTAATTGCTTGGATGGCAGGATGCATCGTTGCTATTAACAGGAATCTACATCACGATTTTATGATTGTGACTTGCAAGAAATACCCGGAAAAGCGATATCAAGATTCTAATGAGAAGTGGGCAATAAATCAGCCGTCTAAAGAAATCCGGAAACGTAACTATTTCCCTTTCCGAAACGCATCGTGAGTGCGTGATACGTTAATCTTTGATGCTATTTAAGATAATATTTATTTCTTATTTAAATACTGTCACTTTAACGGTTTAAAACGCTATATATTGGTAAAACTTATTTGAAAATTATTTTACCTCGGCTCCACTCGATCTTTCAGGCGTGGTATGTGAGTCTCCCCGTAAGCTCTCCCGTAAATCATTTAAAACCGTTAAAGTGTTTTATTTAAATATTTATTTATTTCTAAAGATGTTGTGGTCTTATAATATGTATGTGTGTTTGTATACATACACATTTTACCTAATGTTACACTATGGACTTTATCTAAAATATCAAAATTAAAATAATTGAAACCTAAAATCTAGGATATCTTCATCTGTTTACAAATCGGTCCAAATAATATTTTTTACAAGGTTCTATAAAACTGGATCGCTGATGTGGAAGCAGCATTAGCAGTTGGCACAGATCTTAAGATAATGCCGCTGTTCTTTTGTTCTCGCAATACACTATCGCAATATGGATAAAACATTTACTCCCAATAGTATTCTAGATTAGAGATTAGTACTTAAATTTATATAATTGACTACTTACTTGAAAGTTTCAACAGTCGATCTTCATTATATTCGTATGATTCCATGTGTCTAGAAGAAGGTGAACAAAAAATAGAGCAATTAAGTCATCCATTTATTCTGTTTAAAACTGTATTAACATTGACTAGACGGTTAAATAAATTAATTATTAAATACTTCAATTAAAATAAGAAGTATATGTAATCAGATGTGTATGAAAGAATGTAATAGATTTATATTTATATATAAAGCTGAGGAGCGCTACTGGAACTATTCAGGAACTAATGGTTCGAATTGAAAAATTATTGTTGTGTTAGATCGATCATTTATCGAGAAAGGTCGGAAAAAAACATAGTGCTATACCTATAGGAGCGAAGCAACATCGAGAAATGTGGAACAATTGGGAAAATTATTCATCATTATGGGTTTCCGAGATCCAGTGTCCTTCCGAGTGTCCAAGATACCCGAAAAATATGTATGAAAGAAATGAATAAAATAAAGTCCGTAGCGCTATCTTTTAAAATTAACTTGTAAGAACGACGGGAAGCGTTCGACATCGTTGGTAATTTCATAAGATGAAGAGGAGGTTTGCAAAAACAAATTTGAATCCTCAAAATTATCACTCTACGCGGACGAAGTCGCTGACACAGCTAGTGTATCGATTAAGAAAAACTTTTGAGAATCTTACTTGTTCCGAAATTAACATAATTTTGCGTAAAAATATTTGCTTCTAGACACGTGTCTATTACCTAATAATCCTGTTCTATTAGACTAAACGCAGCGTTATGTGCCATAATGTCAACCGGCCATTATGAAATGGAAATAATGTCGGCATATTGAACATTTTGCGCTTGATTTAATGGCATTCCGGTCTCCCACACGTAGAATTGCGATTCGATTCTTGCTTAATAACGGTATCCGTACACACGATATTTTAGATGTGGGGGTATTTTTTTACACTAATATAAGCTGTATATTATATCTAAAGTTGTAGTAGTTGTTCGTATGATAGTAAATGAGTATATAAGGGTTTATATTTCGAATATTTAACTAAGGCGAAACCAATTTTGTTGTCGGTCTAAAACAAGAGTGTTATCAGAATATAGCAGAGAAGATTCAAAATATTTGATTTATATTATTATGTTTACGCTTAAGTGACATTTATTTCCTTCGTAAAATGTTCTTATTCATTAAAAGTCAATGTCATTTCCGAAGTCAGTGGCCACAGTGTTACATGATTGGGTTTTTTTGTTCAAACCTTTAAGGATAAAAATATTTCATTAGCTGTTTAATACTTGTAATTGTACGTCATGTCTGCGGAGCCCCTAACACGAATATGTATTCCACTATGTCAGCGTGGGAGAGCTTACGATCTGGGTGATTTTTCTCGAAAGCTTCAACAGTACTTGGCAGGTGACCTGGCGACTAAGCAGCACTTGACCCCGATGGTCTTAGTTAGATATTACTTGGCTTCGTCTAATCGTTATGACGTCATATCTTCTCAATATATGTAATTTGTATACTACCTTCATCTAAAGTTTTTTTGTTATTTTAACGTCATTAGTTTGTATGTATTTAAAATGTTGTTGGCCCCTGACATAGGGCAAACATATTTCTGTGTCCGTTTTACTGACCGATTTGGTTTCAAGCCAAGTATGCAGTAGATCGGAGTTTTGTATTGCCTAGCACTTAAACACGAGAGCTCCTGGGGTCGTGTCGCGTTAGGTCAATAAATTATTTCTTTAAAGAGAAGTCATTATGTTACATGCAAACACGTTATGCAGTCAGATAACTTAAAAATTGTTTAAATTATTTGTTCCATATCCTCGCCATACCAACAGAGCAACGTTCCAAGAACATCCCACGCCGTGAATTAATTTAAATGAATAACGGTTAAATCTTTAAGACGCCAATTAAGCGAAAAACATGCGAGGTTAACATGGCGTGCACTTTTTACTCTAGAACTTTGTTACTCAGTAGGTGACATAAATGGCGGTTGTTGTTCTGCAGAAATTTCAACGGCATCCGGTTTTCGGTACCGAGCCTTGTGTACTCTAGTTGACTCATTATTGACTCTCATGCGTATCGTCGTTGACTGATATTAATTTGAGGACCTTCATTTATTGTGGCAGTTGGTTTAAGTTACGGATTGACTTATTGGTCTAGAAAAGCGATCTACTAACTATATATGTTATAGTATAGCCCCGTGAATAAATAATAGTTTTTTTTAGATTCTGTATTTCTCAACTTCTCTTAAAGTTTAAACCCGAAATATTTTATATCCATACACTTGTGTTACAAATATGTACAACTAGGTAAGTTTGTCATGTCTGTGTCCGTTTTACTGATCAGGTTTATTTTTAGTCAACTAGTTGATCAGACTTTTGTGCCCTTCCCGAAACAATTTGTTGTTTCCCCCGAAATCGAACCAAGGACCTCTCGCGGTTACCGCAATGTAAGGCAACGCGTTTACCCATTAAGCTACAGAGTCGGTAACAAAAGAAGTTAGGGAATAAGCAATGTAAAATTTAGTACTACAAGAGATTAGGTTACCTACTCATAATTAACAAGTTACATTATCGTTTCAGACTTCGAAGACCTGCCCACCCGGGACATGATGTGGGCGCCGGCACCCCACGAGATAGACCCGGATATCTGGCCACCACCACCGGATAGGGATCCTAACGCTTGGCCACCACCCACAACTGTCGAGCACAAGTTAGTATTGTTAACTTTGTGCCCTTGGTACTGTAGACATCAGATGACTTAGTGTCTTTATTAAGTATTTTAGCTTAGCTTATCGGGGACGTCCTATAATTAAATGGGGCATGAGACACACATATGTAATCAGTTGTAATTGCAAAAATTACCTCTACATAAAAATCATAACTTTCCCAAAAGCCGTATCTTTCTTTCACAATGCGAAAAGCCAGCATTTCTAAATTGCCTTTTATATACGGTCAAGTTACACCCATTTGTTTTTATGTTATTTCTTATATTATACTAAATGCCGAATGTTATTCTTTCAGAAACCCCCCCGTATTAAAATCAGCTCGAAACAATCCTAGGAATAACAGAACGGCTGACAATAAAAAGCCAGGTCCCAAAACTGCGTCTACATCACAACGAAGGCCCTCGGATGTCAGAAACCCCAAAATTAATACGAATAAGGCACATAGCGGTAAGAATTTGTATAAATTGTATTTAGCTCTCTTGGTTTAAACTGTACGAGATTTATAAGTAAGGCTATTTGTTTATTTACGTTGTTGCGACAAATGATACGAAGAAACTAATTTACAAGCCATATGATGTTTAAACAAAGCACTCTGACGATCTATTTTGGATTTAGATATTTGAAAATTCACAGAATGAATCTAAAACGCCGCTTTACAGCTGTAGACTCACACGGAAATTTAATATTTCTACTACACTTTTAATGTCCAGGCTAAGCGAAAAATTAAGATGTTATATTATTTTTATGACGGACCCTGTGGGAATCGAACGCACGACATAAGCTATATCGTTAATATTAAACCAATGAGTCCATCACATTGATTTCCATGAGACTAAAGTTATAGAAACTGACTAAGCAAAGCTCAACTAGAAAAATACGGGTAACACCGCGGGGCACAGCTAGTTTATAATAAACATCAAACACAATAGATATACTAGTAAAATGAGGTCTTCATTAATTTACTTCCTGCATATTTAGGTTAAGGCTTGGATAATGTGTTACAATGAAATCCCAGGAGGCATTACCAGGATATTAGTTACACATCAATAGCTCACGAGAGAATCATAAAGACGTATATTACATGGTAGATGCATTATATGGTATCTATCCTAAAAAAATATTTTTAATAAAATACTGTCTGTAGTGTAGTGTACATTAAAATAAACGTTAACGATTTAAAACGCGACATATATTAATCTTATTTGAACATTATTTTAACTACGGCTATAATAATATATATTGCAAATAGCAAAGCAACCTTTGCCGGATTATCTAGAAGTTTATGATACCATTTTTGTCTTTATTTATTTCTATTAGTTGCTTATTATGAACTATGGAACACCACATTCCTTTGTACCATGTTTCATGATGTTTTAGGGCACGGTGACTGATAATTCGTTTCCGATTCGAAGAATATTTCGTTTCTGAAGCGCAATAGCTTTAATGGATATTTTACGATAAGACCGTGAAGTATTCGCATTGTTGTGTTACGTTATATTGTTGGAATTGATTATACAATAACAAAAGTCATTCTTTGTTGTACAATATTCATTTTGATATGTCAAGTTTCGTGCTTGATAGGTCGTTGGCACAATGGTAGCAATTTTCGGCCAACGGCTCTTGACTTCGATTCCGAACGTGTCCTGAGTCTTTCCAAACATTATACATATTTTAAATGTATAATGTTTTCTAAAACATGGCCCAATATGAATTCTAACTAGGTATGTTATACATAGGTAGCTATAACTAAATTTCATCCGAGTTACGAACCACCGTCCAGAGATCTAAATCCGCGTTTCGGTGTATAGATTTCTAAATTTGCGACAGCGCATATATCATAATTGATCAAAGTTATATACGAAACTAATAACATATTAATTAATAACGTATAAAATTGTTTACAGCAAAAACGAAAGAGACAAATAGCAAAGACCATAGCAATAAGGATAAGCAAGACAAGGACAACAACAACGGGGATACGGACGAGGAGAAACACAAAGAGGACGAAAGGCGATTTGAGCCGTCCTCGTCGGCGGACAACGATCTAGTCGATATGTTAGGTATGTCCCTTTCGTCAGTATTGTCAGTTGTGAGAGATAGAAAGAGACATATAGCTTTAACAAGTTAACGCAAGTAAAAAATCTAACCATTTCACTGATCGATTTTTATTTTATAAAAACTTTGCTTTATAAAGATACAAAGAGTAGGTAAACTATGACCAATCTATAGCTTCGATTAATATTTTTTTTTGTTCTACAAAGCTTTTTTTAATTTATAGAAAGAGATATAGTACAAAAGAACCCAAACATAAGATGGGACGACATTGCTGACCTCAAAGAAGCCAAGCGACTTTTGGAGGAGGCAGTCGTTTTACCGATGTGGATGCCAGACTTTTTCAAGGTACTATTATTATCTTTGGAGATATATTTTTTCTTTTTTTATACACAGATAGAAGGCCGGGTTATCAGTCCATAATATCTGATGACTATGTAATACATCCCTACTGAGAACTTGGGTTTTCCAACACTCGCTGTCCCCACTTCAAATTTTTACTCCATCTCTAATTGTTTAACATAATCTTATGTTATTTTGTCAATTTTTAATGGTGTATATTAAATTGCATGCTAAAATAAGTCTGATGAGTTTTATTTTGTACAAAATCTACCTTTATGCACCTAGAATAATACATATCAGCAAAAAGTTTACAAAATGATTTTCATTCATTATGTAATAGTGCCATTTTAAAATAATTTTTAGGGTATACGTCGACCGTGGAAAGGAGTATTGATGGTAGGACCGCCCGGCACCGGAAAAACGATGCTCGCTAAAGCGGTCGCGACGGAATGTGGAACTACCTTTTTCAATGTTTCATCGTCGACTCTTACTTCTAAGTACCGAGGGGAGTCTGAGAAACTAGTTAGATTACTCTTTGAAATGGTGAGTGAATTATAAAGGGAGGTGAAATACTCCAACCGTATAACATCTAAGAAAGATGTGCTATCGACCTATGTTGGCTTTGGATATTCGTTAATCCACAGACAGAAAGAGAAACGCTATCAAAACTGTGGAAGGTAGTTTGGGACCCGGACGGAATTTCGATATTCCTACCACCCATTTAATATCCAGATTTCCAGATAAAGTCCAACATGTTTCAGGAAAATAATAAATTGAAAAATTGGAAACATGTTGGATGGTTATTATTGTATAGCCATACACATTACATCAACGAACCCGTCAATTTTTTGTTGGTAGATGATGTACACAGATGACTGTGATGTGTTTGTTCTTAAAAATTAGAAAGGCATTAAATTCAATAAAAGTATATATTTTTTAAATTTAAACATCAAGCTCATATTAACTTTGAAGGGAATTTTGTCAGAATATTATTTGTAACTATTATATTTTTTTTTCCAGGCGCGTTTCTATGCCCCATCAACGATCTTCGTAGATGAAATAGACTCGTTGTGCTCTCGACGCGGCTCGGACAGCGAACACGAAGCCTCGAGGCGGGTTAAGTCAGAGTTACTGGTGCAAATGGACGGACTGAACGATGAACCAGGAAAGGTTTGTAGCATTACTCCACATATTATAATGGGCCTTGTTTCTTCGAATTTGCTTATTGAAAAAAAATATTGAATTAATTGTTTTCATGGGAACCTTTCTTTATGTATGGACTTTTATTGTCCAAATTATATCAGACATGGTATATGCACAAGTGTATACATACGGTATGTCTGATAAATGATGTGTAATAATTGTCTATAATTCCCATTCTAGTATATAAGTTTTTGTTCTGTATCATTATTATTTTTAGTGCAATAAAGAATAAATTAATAAATATAATGACAATATTTTTGGACATTTCAGGTAGTAATGGTGTTAGCTGCGACGAATTTCCCTTGGGACATAGACGAAGCCCTACGACGTCGTCTCGAGAAGCGCATATACATCCCTCTACCCACTCAGGAGGGCCGCGAAGCCTTACTCCACATTAACTTGCGTGAGGTCAAGTTAGATCCGGAACTGGATTTGCAGGCCGTAGCAAAGAAGCTAGATGGGTACTCCGGCGCAGACATAACTAATGTGTGCAGGTAGCGTATTTATGATATTTGTCTCAACAGGCACTGAGGAACTGGCGTACAGTGTAAAATTAAGAACACGGTTGATAGTTTACTATTAAAATTATTAGTACTTTGTGAGAAATAAATAAGAATAATTTCTTATTTGTCCAGTATAGTATTTGTCAATTTTACTGGACACTATTTTAATCAAATATTATAGTTATTTACAATTTCGGTCGTTTTGGAGACGAACAAAAAAAAACTGTAGAATATCTTGCGGTACATATATTTAAAATCGATTGGTAAGGTTAAAGGCTAGAGGGGATTTTTAAATCTTGCAGAAATAAGCTAAAATTATTACAGACATGGCTTAAAGAGTATAACACGCAACAACAGTGAGATGTGTTTTGATAAATAATAATTCATTTTCATGTAATATAGAGACGCGTCGATGATGTCCATGCGACGAAAAATTGCTGGCCTAAAGCCAGAGCAGATAAAGCAGCTTGCCAAGGAAGAACTGGACCTACCCGTCACCAAAACAGATTTTATGGAGGCCATCGCCAAGTGCAACAAGTCAGTATCGAAAGGCGACATCCAGAAGTATCTCACGTGGATGGCCGAATTCGGCTCCTCCTGATTGACGTAGAACAATTATTATCTGTGTACATGTCAAAAAAAAAATGGCGCGCTGTCATTTGTCAAATTTTAAATAACATATAACAAAAATGCCGAATGTAACAATAAATAGGTTTTATTCTTGAGAAAATATTTCGCATATCAACAAGAACAATGCAATTTACAATACTGGACAAGTGCGCCACTTTTATTCTTCTGAGTCCATTTTAGTATTAGACGATAAAGGATAAGATCGAGTATTTAAAATTGCCTTATAGAATAGGTTGCGAAACAGACTGTTTCAGTATTAACAATTAATATTGTAAAGGTGTTAGCACTACACATTTTAAACATTCCAATAATTGGATGGATTGAGTGTGTTCATTTGAATTAAGCCAGTACTTGGTCTGAATTAGCAATATTATTTAGGATTTTGCATTCATTTTTAATAAAACTCACTTGGAACATATACCTTTTTTAAGGCATTTGCTTGAAAGATTGAGTATACTTATTAAATTTTAAATATACAATAAACTAAATCTGACACAAAATAAAATCCTTTGTGTCTTAATTTTCAGCCCGTAACAAATTCAGATTTTTATATTCCACAAGCACAAAATAGTTTTCAAAGCTCATGAAACTAGAAATAATCTCTGTATATTTCTTATATTTATTAGTCGTTTCTTTGTACTTAATTTAGATTAATGAGATTCATAGTTCATAGTAATTATGCCATAACTAATTTATAGCTATAGACATTTTTTATAATTTTTCAAGCATGTTCAAATATAAATAAAAATTATGTCAGCATGTAACAATACTTGCTCAATTAATTTTTCATGTTTAAATAATATTGTAAGAATTGTAATGTCATTGATTTTTTACTAAATCATAACAGGTTATATTGTTTGGATAATATTGATGTGTTATATGGACTCGCATTTGATAATGTTAGACACAAAAATAGGGATGTAATTTAACAATTTATTGGAAAAAATATTTTTGCATCATGGTAATTTTCTTATAACAAAGACATAATAAAATAAGGGAAAATGTTTGGTCTTTCTTTGGCTCCATAGAAATATGTATCTGTAATTATAATTATTCAATTTCAATTCAATTTTCTTTATGCCAGTAAATAATTAATGGTGACGGACACTGCATATTTACTGAATGAACTAATACAGAACCCTTAAATTTTGAATAAAACAAGTCCATTTGCATGTACAATAGGAAAGCTATAAACTGCTAAACAGATTTAGTCAAATTTTCTGAACGAAAATGTTAAGAAATGAAAACTACATATAATTAAATCCAGATTTCATTTGTTTGACAGTCTGATATTAAATATACAATTTGCTTTTATTTGAAAGTAATAATATAACATATATAGCAGTAAATTTACATAGAAAAATTATGAATAGTATAGTTTTTAAGCCATATCAGCTGAGGGACTTGTACCCGTATAAATTAATATAAAATTTTCCCAATGGCAGTCTCAAACATACATTTAACAGTAACAAAGATGTTCGGCTTGTTCAGTAGTCTTGATCTCTGAATATTTATTTAATAATTATTACTTATATATTCATATGGTGCCGATCAGCTTTTTTCCATTTGTGGCAAGAATATATGACTATTTGCCAGTGTCATGTTGGTTGTGGTCAAAGGTAGGGAAACTCTACACGAAGAAAAAGGACATGATGGCCTATATATGGTGATCAGGAGAGTTAGGCAAAATAGATATATGCATGTAGATAAACTAAAAATATATATACACTACAATTTTGTCATTGCTAAATATAAAATGAGATATGTTCTTAAAATGTTTTTTAGGATACATACATAGATAGGACGGACATAGGGGTAGGAAGAGGAATATTCGATGAAATTAAAGAGATGAATAAAAGGAGGAATGGTCATGCAGGACAAGAGAAAAATATATGATCTATATTTCCCTCCTCACCACACTCGGAAGTAGCATTACTTGAAACACTAATTTTGGCTAAATGACTAGGAATACATATATGTCCAATTCTCATGTGACTTATAGTGGTTATTTTACTTGCATCAACACCAAAAAACCGAGGTTATATTGGTAGGTATTATAGGTTGAATTTTATAATAGTTCCCTTATATTGTCCAGTCTCTGCCCAGCCCTTATTCCATGCTTCAAAGAGAAATAGGATAGCAATGATCGAATTTCGCCAATGAAAGGAGGCATGACAATAGCTGATGTATGAAAAATTTGAATTACTTTAATTGGGTTTATTTATTAAATTAGGTTGATTCAATAAACTGGGTTGATTTAATAAACTAGGATAATCAGCGGGAGACTTTAATAATCTCCATACAGTTTACCTACATGAGGGTGAAGTTTGCTTGCTTCATTGTATGAAATATTATTTTGAGCCATACTAAATTTAATTTTTTTTTGACAATTTTATTCTGGACAGTTCTTATCAGGTGATCCTGACCACATTTGTAGCATCTGGGTTTGAAACAACAAATTGTTTTAGTGTGACCATATCTACCACAATAAAAACATTGTACTGTGGGAAAAATGTAAAGATTTACCGGTAATAAATTATATCAAACATAAATTTGTTGAGGAAGAACCTGCGCATCAAAAGTTGGACTACAGACTGTGTTGGTCTTCAAGACAAAGAGCCATCAATAACTATCTTATAATTTACACACCTAACTTTTATAATTTTTCCACAGCCTACTGGTGTTAAAATATTTTCTATAATTTCTTCTTGGGACCACTCAGATGGTATTCCTTTAACAATGCCTATACAACTAACATTAAATGTTGGTATTTTGGCATTTAATTTATGTAAACTTAAATTTTTTCTTTTGCTGAGTTGAAAATGCTACAAAACAACGATTCCTACCTATTTTGTTTTACACTGCCCGCTACTATGTTTTTAATATAGTTTTTTAAAAATATGCCAAAAGTAATGGGATGCAATGTGGAACCATTCCCAGGAGATGTCTCCAATCTCTGAACATAGACAATATAAGGGCGGGACTTGGTAAGTATTCAGAACGTACAACTAGTAACGAAGATTGTTCAATCATATTACTATTGTCATTAGTTGCGGTTTCTTTACGAGTAACACCAGAAATTGAATTTTTATTTGACTCTAAATACTGATATGTTGTAAGTCGCAACTGGAAAAAAGCTGACAATTGACAAAACGGCTTTTTTACTCGCCTCTGACGCATTTAAAAATGCTACGACGATGCTGTTTGGATCAACAAATTGTTAAAAATTATTAAAATAATTGTCTGTGTGAAATTAACTTATCAATATTTTAAAGGAGGTCACGAATTTTAATTTTTCATTCATTGTTAGCTTTGTTCTCTAGTTGTACGAAAATTATAATTTTCCGAAAAAAATAAAACAAATTAATATTGTTTCTTTTCGAACAAGTCTCCAATTGATCGAATGGAGTTTCTCGATCATTTTTTAATCTCATCAATAAATGTATGATAGGCAATTTGCATTACAAGTTTTATATTTTATCTGTGGTTGTTTGAGTTACCACCTCAAAAAAATCTTTTTATAACGGTTGGTACATATGCGTGGAAAATTTTAAAAAGCTACACAGGATGTAAAAGAATTTAACATTTAATTAAAAAATACACTAAAAGAAATTAATGGTGTTGAGTCATAATAAACACACTCAACCTGTTACACAAAAATTCTGTAAAATACAAAAAATATTATCTTTGTCTGTCCACTGTGTTTGCAATGAATATAGCCACAGTAACAAATTTGGCGCCACCGGAAACGTAACAACTACACAATGTTGGTATTACTTCAGTTACTACGTGGTCGCAATGTTACGGAATTTGTAAACATGCACAGATAATTTTGATCAAATTTATAATTATTCTAAGGTTGTGCCGTTTATTTAATGAATGTAGCCAAAATGATATCAAAAAATACACATTCTAATTGGCGGCAATAATATTGCTATGTTCAATATTGCCCCTTTTATTGTCTGTGACTGATGTGAACATAGGCAAAAGCCTTGTACAAATTCAAGTCCGCTAATGGCGGACGCTAGTAATTTTAGAAGTTTCGTGCTTTTATTGTCCTGTTTTCAGCACAATATCGCCGGTAAAATGTTGTGCGTAACCTGGTTTTAAGTGATTTGAAACTGAGTGATTCCAAGGTGTTAGTGGTATCAAATGTTAAATTTGATCATGACAAAAGCGACCGCTACCAGTGTAACCTTTTCCATAACCTCGTTTATGCGAGTGGTGTAGATATGTGATCGATGTGTGTGCGTCGGTGAACGATTTTTCGTCATTTCGCGTTATATTTTGTGCGAAGTATTCGGGTTCTTAGTGATGGAAGTGTCCGCGTCGCGATTTAGTAATCCGACGCCCGTATTCGATGTAACGTAAGTGAGCCGGTCGATCAGTTGAAGTAGTGTTAGCAGAGACGGCCGCCACCAGCCGAACATGGCTGCGACGCAGGCTGAGTCTCAGCGTAGTGAAGCGACTATAGATCAGAGTCCATCAGAGCAACTCGGTGAATCTCGAAACGCTCTGTTACAAAACGGCACTGATAAGTCCGTCGGGCGCGTTCCGCTCGATGGCGTTGTGAATTCTAAGAGCAAATCGCCTATGTCTATCGAGACGGGTCAGCCCCGCGACGCTGGCGAAGCGCCGGGCCACGACCGGCCGGGGCCAGACCAGTACGGAGGGTACAGGTATCCAGAAAGCGATCCATATTATGCCCAAAGGCCCGGTTTTCCCGGGAAGCCGCGGCCACCTCAACAGCAAAGATTCTTTCCGGGCCAGGCAGTGTCGCAGGCTCCAGGACCGACGCCGACGCTTAATTCATTACTGCAATCCAGTGGCGCGCCTCCACATCGGTATCCTAATAGCTATGATCAGCCACAAGGCGCCTATGGACCAACGCCTGGCTGGCCGCCACCGAGGCCTATGCCTCCATATAATCCTCAAGGTGGACCCTACAGAAATTCAACGGTGAGTGTTAAATTTATATCTCCTATAATAGTTTTACATTTGCTTTTATATTTTCATGACCAAAACTACCTTGCTTGCCAAAGCTAAATGTTTCTAAATGAACTGTATTTTATGACTAACTAATGAGGTACAGAAGTTATGTACTTTTAAATTTGTTGTATATTTACTAAAACTTCATTGTTTAGTTGCTATTTTACTGTGAATGCGAGGAATGTATTTCAGTATTTTATTGTTTTTGTATTTCGATTCCTTGAAGCTTTTTAAAATGTTGTTGTTTGTATTATATAATTTATGATACCATGTTGGACGCACAAAGGACAAAAAATACTATCTAATTGTAGTCACAGGCCAAACTTAATTTAATCCTTTAAATCTATAAAACTATGTTTAGGGTACATAGTTCTATATATTATCATTTATCGCAGAGATCATTAATATATATTCTACCTTTTCTATAACTATAGCAATATTAATAAAATCACAAATAATGTAATTTTCTATATTAACACATTAGTTTTGATTTATTAATTTTACACAAAAGGAAATGAAGTCCGCTTATACTATAGCATGAGATTAGGTCTACCAATGTGTTGGAATAAGAATCCCAGAGAAACATACACAACAGTTTAGGTTATGTAAGACACATACATCTGACCAAGACATTAGGGAAATCAGATTTCACTTCAAGTTTACATCTTTAGAAACTTTCTGAATTGTATGTTTTTGTATTGTATTTGGCAAGATCATTTTCTATTTTGAAGATCCTAATATGTTTAACATGTCGCAATCCAGCAATGTTGTCTAATAAATAATATAAATTTAATTATATATTGTAGAATTAAACACTACAGTTAGTCTAGACTCTACACCTATAAGGGCTCTCGCCTCTTTGTATATTAGGTATATATTAAAAATAGAAATGTTTTATGTTTAAGGTGTGGACAATGGTCAATTTCTATCATGTTGTGACATAATTATGATTTAGGGTTACTTTTTATAATCCACAATGAAGTTAGTTTTAGAAATTATAACAAAAAGTCTACTTTGACATTTGTATGTAGTTATTTAAAATATTGTTAAAGTTAGAACATACATTGTACATTCGCAAGATGTGAATGTCTTACTATATACCACATATATATATTATATGTTATGTTATGAAACAAGAGCCGAGAAAATGTACATTTTTAAGTAGGATTTTTTGGACATTTTTATAAAGTAAATGCCACTAGGTGTACACACATTATCTCCATTGAGCAAATGATGGCACACGTCGAAAACGTGAAAAGCCCGCGTCACGGCCGAATGTGGCGGGTGAAAAAGCTCACTGGAGAAATAACAAAGCCGGCCGCCATTTCTAGCGGATATAAAAACGAAAGTGCAGCGATAGTGAAAGTTTGATGTGTAGGCAAATATTACTCGCTTGCAGGCGGAGATTTGTGCGTTCGTCTTCTCAATTGCAAAACGTGCTAAGAGCGGCAGCGCACTCCCGCACTCGGCGCATATATTATGTAGAGGCGGCGCTGCCGGGACGTGCGTCTGACGCTATCAACCTAAATGGAACTTGACATCTGACACATGTATCTCTAGCTACACGGTTTCGAGAGCCTGGGAGGGATAACTGTGTTCGTACGAAGGACATATTTGGAATTAACATTTTTATTCATTGTCATCTGCAGTGATAACAAACAAATTCAATGATTTTATTACTCGGCATTCATTAGATATTTTGTGATAAATAAGAAGTATTAGAAACGAAAGAGAACAGAGTGCAAAGTTTCCTCCTAGGGCACCTAACGGGCTATCGACGGGTGTGCAACCAAAGTCTCGTTCGCCGCAGTCCATAACTCTGATTGCCATAAAACAATGCATCGAACACGTGCCTGTTTACACTTCAGAGTTCACATTCAAGGTCGTACGCATTTGTAAGGATGTACCTGTGTAGGTTGGCCGGCAACAAATACCGGTTACGTAACATTGTCCCACTTCCCACGATGCGGTTCTTCCGCTCGTCAAAGGTTCGCAATGGGACGATTATTGTTTACAAGCTGCCGATTCGGCACGCTGAACGCCTGACGCGCTTTCTTTGTTTTCCATCCGCCGGAAAGATCTGTTCGTGCGGGAGTCTTGGTTACCTCCGCCTACTTTAAATGTCGGTAGACACTTTCAGTGAACGGTTCGCTTTTCTAGAGATGATGCATCCCAGAGACGTCGAAATCGCGCCTCAGATGAGAGCTGTGAATGTGCTCGTCCTTTGCGCGTGAGTTGTCTTCTCTAAGCTAAGGCTATTCCAAGTATCGGTTCCGTTTGGAATAGCAATGACGACCGTAATTAATTAGTGAATGGCGCGGGCGAACGAGTGTCGTGGAATTAGTCATTTATCTCGGCCCGTTGTTTACCCACAATCGCATTAGATAGTTGTCGATAAGGAGACACGTGGTAGCGAGGTCGTCGACCCGACATACTCGTGCTCGCCGACAGCTCGGTAATAATAATAAAATGTTTCCGTGCGACTGGTTCAAGGGCGAGCCGCTGATATCGGCGCCCGCTATATTTAGATTTAGCTGTGTGATGAGATGTCGAGAATTCGATTAGACTCGTTTCCGAGAAGTTCCTTCGACTTGCTAGGGGCTTGGCTACTGGGACTTGGCTAGGGAACGACGCTGCATCAGACGTGCGTGTACTCTTGCTAGTCGAAATAGTTCTCTTACCTCTCACCAGGGGGACCATTCTCAACTAACCAACGTAAGTATCAAATTATGAGCAATTTGTTAGAAAATAATAAATCGATGTTAATCTAATATCACTTTTTTGGAATCCTCCCTCCAGTTGTTTACAATCGGTCAAGGCGGTTTTCCGGAAACTAGCGGGTTATAACCTAAACGTAGTCTAGTTTCCCCGAAAACCGACAATTAGATAGAATAATTCGCTGAGTGCTCTTGATTATCAATTAACGTTCTAGTGATCAATATTCTATTCTCTTCGTATTTAGGGCGGTACGTGGTGCGTAGTTCAGCCCGAGTAAATTTCGCTCTCGCTTTCGTATTGCAATAGCGGTGTGTACATGAAAACGAGATGAATGGGCCGACGGAGACCGTTCATTCTGAGTCCGTGATGTTGAATTCGTAAAATCAATGCATTTCGTCTCGAACATCCTCTTCCACATAGTGGCATGGTTGTGGTGGACGTATCTGGTTTATGTGATATATGTATCATTCACCGTTTCAAAGCCACGCTTACATAATATTATGACTTCTGCCTGTCTGGATTTGTTCAACTTGTTCAAATTAACAAGGCGTCATTATAAGACGAATATGTTGTTTTTGTATTTACAAAGCACCGCCAAATGGTTTGAACCGATGCAAGCTTGTGCTACGCTTTAAACATTCCGTTTTTTGCCAAAGTAAGGTCAATTTGAAATCAAGATTCATATTCGCGGACAAAAACGCTACTCGTCACGTGGCCTGCATTCATTCATACAATATGTTGTAATGGGGTCGTTAACCGTCGTGACGTCACGTAATTGCCAGTCCCCTGTACCAGTCGGTTGAAATCAGAACGACGGATTATTAACAAGGGAGACCCGTGTAGGTCAAGCTCATCATTGTCTTGCCGAAGCTTAATAGGCACCGGCCGTGTCATAGCGAGATTTACGACCTTACCTTTATATGTCCTTAATCTTATACAATTTAGGTTGTAAATAAACCTTTACGGTTTAAAACCGATATATTGGTTAAAGTATAGGTTAAGTGGTCACGGGGAGACACCGTTCTCCCGTGACCACCACCAACGACACCAACCACGGCTGCTGCAAAGCATCCGAAACGTCGGGCGCGAAGTTAAAAATCATTTTCAAATAAGTTTAACTAATATATGTTTAACCGTGTGTTTTATTTAAATGTGTCACTCGCGTAAACTATAGACAGTACAATTTAGGTTGTTTAATGACAACGAAATCTCCGCTTAGAATAAGGAAGACATTCGTTTTATTAATAGTTCAGTCTAGGTTACGGACTGCTAGTATTTTAATTCGTATCCTATATTATACATAAGATAACGCAGTAATTCATTAATTAAACATTATACGTCGATTATATCATATCGTAACGTAAGCGGCTCGTGTTGTCATGAGCGTAATTACCAATACTGACCTCGCATTCGTAGAGGGAAATTGGCGTTATCGCATGAAAAATATAATTAAAGCTAACCTTAATAATGCAAACGATATGACGTAACCCACATCGATAAATGTATATGAATGCAAAAGGGGCCACTGCCAAGGACCTCGCTCTGAACGCAGAAAGGTAAATGACTCCTATATACCTACATTCTATAATCTACTGAAGTGTTTCTTTGAAAAAGACGTCACGAAGTATTAATGTGAGTTTCGTCTTTGGATTCTCTTTTGTTCCGCTCGTTTGTTATGTAAGCTTTGTTATTCATGAATGATGCCAATATTTTGTTGTAACGTGTGTCATCGTTTATTAGAACAACGTCTTATGTATGTATGATGTGCTTTGGTTTTTCAATAGAAAACAAAATGTGTTCTCCCCGTTTCTCGAATAAGAATTCTCGTTTTCATGTCAATTCGTAGTATTGTTTGTCGGGTAAATTAGATAGAGTTATTATAACCTGCTTCTTCTGTCTTGGCACCGGGTTTTGAATTTCTTTTTTTATGATAAAGGAGGACAGACAAACGTGAGGTTCACTTAACTTACCCCGAGCACCTTAACAAGGTGAGATTCTCTGTCTACCTATTTTGGCGTTCGATATTCATACCACCCACCCATTTAATATTCAGATTTCTAGACCATGTCCAAAATGTTTCATGTTTCATGATGTGTCATATATTGCTACCATTATACCAACGAGCTCGTAAAACAATTGTTCGTTTCTCATCTTTTAATTCCTGACTTTGTGCCCTGCTAGACCGAATCGCTTTATATGATTTCCCGACATTCATATTTAACATCTGTTTAAATCGAATTATTAATCAAACT